CCTTTTGCAAATATTGCCCATGGTAATTCTTCTATAGTGGCTGATAAGTTGCATTGAAATTGGTTGGACCAGGTGGGTTTGTGGTCACTCAATCAGGTTTTGGTGCTGATATTGGAACTGACATGTTCATGAATATCAAGTGTCGATGTAGTGGTTTAACACCTCAACGTGCCGTCATTGTGGCAACAATAAGGGCCTTGAAGTTGCATGGTGGTGGGCCGAAGTTGTTGCTGGAAAGCCCCTTGACCATGCTTACTTGAATGAGAATGTATCATTGGTTGAAGCTGGTTGTGTGAATCTGGCCAGGCATATTGCTAGCACAAAGGCTTAGGGAGCAAATGTTGTTGCTCTGAACATATTCTCCACTGATACACGGGCAGAACTGGATGCTGTTAGAAATGCGGCCTTGGCTGCTGGAGCATTTGATGCTGTAGTCTGTGCTCACCATGCTCATGGTGGAAAGGGAGCGGTTAGTCTTTTCTTCCACACTCAATATGTTTATTCTTTTTAGTTCTCTTGAAACCAAGTTACTTGAAGCAAAATAGCACTGTTGCAATCAGAACTGTTTTTTTTTTTTTTTTTTTTGAACATTCTTTTTTTTTCTTTTTCTAATGAAAAAATAGAGAATTTAATGTTTCCAGTCCATATGTGGCATCAGTTCTGGGAACTTATTTTATCTCTATCTTGTACTTGCCTGACCATAACATTTGCTTTGAGAAGCCCCTTTCCTTTTCTAAGAGTAACTGGTGTCCCCTTTTTCCCCTTTTCAAAACCATAGTTTTCTAATGGTACTATCTGTAGCTGTACAACCAACTGAGATCTGTGCCCTAGTTTTTCTTGAACCCTGTATTTCTTCTCTAAATCCTCCTTGCGCTTTATTATTTTTCTAATTAATGCTTCTTTGAAAATAAGCATGCTATAAAATTTTATATCTTCTGCTGCTTATATATTGTAAAATAAGCTGTACATTGTCTAGAACATGAATCAGTCCTGTCTAGTTTATTCAAGTTGTTGAACTTGAAAAATCCACGCCTTTCTAGTGGCAGACTGGTTGTAGTCTTATTTGAGTTCAGGTTGTTCTGCACTTTTATGTGATGCAGTGAAAGTGGATCACTGTTTTGAGTTTTGACTGACTTATTCCATTTAATCTTCAGGTCGAGCTTGGTATTGCAGTTCAGAAGGCCTGTGAGAATGTTACACAGCCATTGAAGTGTTTATATCCTTTGGATATTAGCATTAAAGAGAAAATAGGTGCAATAGCAAGGTGATATGGTGCCAGTGGCGTTGAATACTTCGAGCAGGTAGACATGCCAGACATCTTTCACCAAGATGCTCTATGCCTTAGATAATCAGTGCTAGTATTGGGTCACGTGGGGACAGGTTTTTCTTTTCCCTTTTTCTTTTTATATTTTTTTTTCAACCTGGCTGAGAACAGATTGAGATGTGCGGCAGGCAAGGCTTTTCTGGTCTACCAATCTGCATGGCAAAACCCAGTATTCATTTCAGACAATGCTTCAGAAAAGGGAGCACCAAGTGGATTTATCTTACCAATAAGGGATGTAAGAGCTAGCATTGGAGCTGGATTGATTTATCCTTTGGTTGGTACAATAAGCTCAATGCCAAGGCTTCCAACAAGGCCTTGCTTCTACGAGATTGATCTTGACACAGCCACAGGGAAGGTTATTGGTCATTCTTGGAAGTTTTGTAAACCTCTTCCAAGCTTGTATGTTTCTCTACCTTGCTTACGCCTCCTTTAAGCTTCATAGAGCAGCAAGTCCTTTGCTTTGGTCATCTGGTCCATGTCCTGTTCTAAGTCAAACATATGAAGAAAGATAAATCTTGTTTGTCAATCTTGGGTGAACATTTTTCATCATTGGGATTCAAATAAAATAAAAATTCAATAGTTTTTTCTCACTGCTTTAGGACTTTATACCCAGAATATACTCTCTCCAGGGAACTGCATATCTGCCGTCGCCTTAATGCACTTGTACGATGACCTTTTTCTCCTTTGAATCTATGATTTATTTGATCTTTAAGGGGAGAATTAGTTTACAGAATGTTCGATAAATTAGAAATGGGGTGATGGGTCTAGGGAAAAAAGTTCTTTTTAATCTGACTGACCTACAGATAAAATTTTATTTTCTGTTGATTTGATAGATTATACACTTAATGCATTATGCATGTTAGGAAATTTCTGACTATTTTGTTGTCTTAGGAGACTTGATTTATGGTTCCAAAGTTACTGTTTTTAAGCAACAACTACCAAGCAACTTTTAGAGAATTTTCATGCCCAAGTCAGCGGTAATGTTATAACTACATAAATTTTTAAATATTAATTTAATTTAATTTAATTATTAAAAATAATTAATAATTATATTAATTAATTAATTAGTAATAAAATAATATTTATTATTTAATAAAATAAAATTAATTTCTATATTAATATTTTTAAATATTATAATTAATTATATAAAAAAATAAATAAATAAATTTGTGTAGCCCCAATACAATAATGTTATGGCCATAAGCACAACTATCAAGTCAGTGGAAATGTTTTTGTAGATTTCTGAAATCCTGTGATCAAAGAAAAACGAAGGGCAAAACTAAAGAGGTAGGAATGGGGATTTTAAGTGAAGGAGCCAGGATTTTTTGTTATTTAATTTTCCAATTTTTTTAAAAGAAAACAAAATTAATCTTTCTACTTGTGTTTTCATAACAATTAGAAAAGTAAATTGAAACTTGGAAGGGAAAGATTTTCAAAGATTCTCAAGTCTCCAATGCAAACAGAGAAATTTTAAAAGAACTAAAATGATGATATATGAAACAAATTATTTAAGGATAAAAATGAAAGTTGAAGAAAACTAAACTAATTTTTTCACAAAAGGCAATGCCTTCCTTACCAAAACGTGGCCCTTTGCAAAATCAAAGGGTGAATAGCTAGGAAAGAGTCACTTATGAGGAAAAAGGAATGTGAATAGAAAAACAACGACCCTATTTGCAAAATCAAAAGGTGAATAGCTAGGAAAGAGTCACCAACGAGGAAAAAGGAATGTGAATAGGAAAACAGCGACCCTATTTGCAAAATCAAAGGGTGAATAGCTAGGAAAGAGTCACACCTATGAGGAAGAAGAAATGTGAATGCATAATGCATCCCCCACGTGGTTGTGCTGACAATCACATTTCTTCAAAATAAAAAGCAGGTAAAATGTATTCGATTTTCAAGTTGAGTTTCAGATTTGATTTTTTTTAGACAGGTACTAACTTAATATTGTAATTTTTCTTTTAAAAAAAATGTAAATAAGAAAACAGCACCCTATGCAAGAAAAGCAGTCCACCCTACTTTATTCACCCTAAATGCGTGAATAAATTAAGTAGAAGGAATAATTCACGCATGAGAAAAATAGGAAAAGCAGTCCATCCTATGTAAGAAAAGTGGCATAATTTAGAATTAATAGTTTTTATATTCTGCGATTTAGTCTTATCCTACTTTATTCACTTTAAACCAAAGTTTTAAAAACTGGACCGGACCAGCCGGTCGAACCAGCACCTGATATCATAAACAGATCGGTTAAGTATTTAGAACCGATAAAGAGGTTGAACCATTTAAAACCGGTAAAATCACTCAAACCGATATAAACCGTTAAACCATTCAACCAAATAGTTTAAAATTCTTGAAAAACTTTTTTAACCAAAGTTTTAAAAACCAAATCGGACCGACCAATCGAACCAATACCCGATATCATAAACAGATCGATTAAGTACTTAGAACCGATAAAGAGATTAAACCATTTAAAACCACTCGAACCAATGTAAACCATTAAACCAATCTACCAAACGGTTTAAAATTCTTGAAAAACTTCCTTTAGCCTTGCATCCTCCAAGGCTCGAACACAATACTTCAAAGGAATTTTCAATCACTTCCACCACTAAGACATGACCCATTGGATTAAGAAGGACTTAAACTTTTATTTATTTTACTTTTAGGGAGAATAGAATTGCTTTTCACCAC